CTACTACTACTACTGCTACTGTTTCTACTACTAGTAATCATCATTATTGTTATTATTCCGACGCCTATATTGGGGATGTCTCTGGGCTGCTTCCCGCGCCGCTAGGCTGCACATGTCTTGCATAATCGCAGTTACCTTAACCCACCAGAACCTACTATTTTGTAGGGTCCCTATAATCGCAAGAACCTACAAAACCGTGGGCTCAGGTACGGTTTAGGTAGGTTAAGGGTTAAGGGTTAAGGGTTAAGGGTTTAGGGTTTAGGGTTTAGGGCCTTAGGGTTTAGGGCTTAAGGTAAGTTTCAGGGTTTGGGGCTTGTGACTCTGAGCCCTAAGCCGCCGACTTACTTTACTTTTGTCTTTGCATCTTAACCCAATGCCCTGCCGGTAACCGAAAAGACCTACCTTTTTCACGGACTATATATAGAAACCCTAATAAGGAACCCTAAAAAGGTGGGCTTTTCCGGCTACGGGTAAACCCTAAACCCTGAACCCTTAAACTCATCACATGTCTCAGCTGCTTCGCGTTTCAATTCAGTGTGCTTGGGATTCTCGGACCCTGCAATCGTAAGGGTTTAGGGTCTCCAGCAATTGTAGGAAGCAAGTTCCACGGTCAAACTCCACCACCGGTGCCTAGCCCGATCTACCTTCCAAGAGAGACAGCCTTACCGCAACAATCCTGAACCTCAAATTTTAAACTTCCTAGAAAACCTGATGGTTGAGAAACGCCCTGAAACTGAACAATGTAGAGCTCTGAGACAAAAAAATCCTAAAAACCACATGAACACCACAAAAGCCCTTATAAAAAAAACCCATAAAACCCTAAAAAGCCCTTCTGCAAATCAAAACCCCAAAAAAGCCCTTGGAGTTCGAGGCTCGGGCCGTAGTCGGCCTGCCGATCGCGGACGATAGGCTGCCGGCTCTTTCCCTGCCATTCTTTGCTGAATGCAAGGTTTAGGGTTCAGGGTTTTGGAGTTTCGGGTTTTTAGGGTTTAGGGTTTAGGGTTTAGGGGTTTAGGGGTTTAGGGGTTAGGGTTTAGGGTTTCGGGGTTTCGGGGTTTTGAGTTTCGGGTTTTAGGGCCTTAGGGCTTTAGGGTTTAGGGCTTTAGGGTTTTAGGGCGTAGGGTTTAGGGTTTAGAGTTCAGGGTTTAGGGTGTTTAACGTGAGAAGTAAGGTGCACATATATATATATATATATGTATATATACACATGTACATACAGTTATGTATTTCTATTTCACTGTGTGTAGTTTACATCTCTATAATATAAGTATCAGATAGAATGTATATATATATATATATGATCCCGGTTCGGCCGGCCCCCCCCTCC